TGCAATGTGCCCAGTCGTGATAATCAGTCGTCACTCGCAAAGACAAAGTAGACGAACGCTGCTGATAAATCATAATAATAATGATCCCCAAATGAGAGAGAATACATACACAGACGAACGAGGGAGGAGGGAGAATAGACTTTGAGAGGGTGGAAGAGTCTCCTCCCTACAGYCCACTTCCTCTTCGGGCACTTCCTCCTCCTAGCAGCATAATCGTGTCTCAATCAGAGATCCAGACGTCCAAGACCATGTAGACCAACAGTGCCACGTGGCACCAACAGACCCGTCATCAAGCAGCAGCGTGACGAAGTTGAAGACACCAGGTACGTATCACGACCCCAACCACAGTCCTGAATCCTTCTTCCAAGTACTTGTCAAGCAGAACAGCAATACAGGTGCCCAGCGCCTTCCACCTCAGCAACAGTCCTATGTGGCAGCGGCCACGAAGATGACATGTGGCATCTGCCACGTCGACAACCCCTCAGACAGTAGTGCGCCAGCCAGCATGCTGGTCGCACAGCTCACTCAAGCCACGAACAAGCGACGAGCGCTGGTCGTCAAGTCCTCCCAGCAGTGTCTCGCCAGCAAGACCGCATGACGCAAGCGCGTCGAATCAGCGTAGACTCCAGACGAGAGTCCCGATGTCAAAGCCAGGAAGTCAGCTCAATATGTAGTGTTGCCAGCGGGGTCTGGACCCCAGTCCTCGAGTCAGACACGGCCGAGATCGATTGTCGTCGACGTCCTGGATTGAGTTGAAACTATATCCTCCTTGGTCCACTGTTCTGACTGGGTACCTGCACACATACAAGTCAATGCACACGACCAAGGGCCTGGGCGAGGTACCCGGACCTACAGGTGACTTTTACCTTTGAATTTCTTGCTGTGCGTGGTCACACAGCACCCACAGCGACCTGAGGCCGAGCAGCGAGTGGTCGCACTGCTCGCTGGGCCTGGGCTTGGGTTACAGCCCCTAGGCCGCTGCTGAACGCGGTTTACTGCATTCCTGCCGGCCCGAATTCGAGTTCCACCGCAGAAATACTTAAGACTTCAGTCCGCGTTCATAGCTAGCAACAATATCAGGAGCAGTATCCCGTCCGCTAAACCAACGGTCTTCAGAGGCATCTTGGAACTGGAATCTCACTTTATACTGCTTCTGAGGTCTGCCTCTTCCACCAGTAGAAAAGAATCCATGGTCGGTAATTTTCTCAACCACATAGCTGCCATTCATAGACGGAGGTA